CTTGGGCTCCGTGAGTCACACAGATAGGTGTGAGGAAGCCTGGGGGGGGGGGGGGGTGGTCGCAGAGCAGGGAGAGGCAGCATTCAACACCCATGGAGTAAATGGGGGTTTTCAGGCCTTGCTCAGGGTGCCAATGGTGGCATTAGTCCGCCAACCCTTAGATTAGAACTGGTGACCTTCTAATCATGACCACAGGTTCCTATCCTGCACAGCCACACCACACAGGAGTAAAGCATAGCAAGATAGCAAACTTCCTATTAAAAGGTGGTACAAAAATGGATTAAATTAGCTTTTTCTCAAAGGTAGCCCAGTTCATTGATGGTTCCTATTCATAGCAGCACATATCCCATTAACTTCAGTAATATTTTTCCATTTTCACACAGTACATTGGGGAACAGATATTAGCACATCAGCGGCCCCTGCTGGCTAGAGTTAAGGTTTCGCACCCAATACAGTCCAATAAGCACCGTTCTGCCGCACTGTTTTTGTAAAGCCACAGGCAACTTTACAGAGACAGCCCAGCCAGTTCTTCATCCGGATTAACATTAACATACATTTGTAAACAAAAATAGCAAATACATTTACCATCATTTATTATACACACTGATATGACTAACACAAACCATGTTTTCAAATATAAATTTACAATGTAATTTAATTTTATGAACTAAATGTGGTCATATAGCATTTTCATCTGACCAGTAGGGGGTGCACTTGCACGCCTGGTATAATCACCTCTGTTCAGTGAAACCGAGAGCGTTCACGCGCGCCACTGCCTGGTACGTCACCTTTGCCGTGAGCGGCTAGCGTGCGCTGGCCGGTGGACAGTCCTCTCCAGAGCGCGCACCGCAGACCGTATACAGCTGCTCTAGACGCCAGCATCTGAATGGGGAATGGCGTTTCTATCCAGTTTATGGTTGCGACGTATGCAATTATCACTTACATAAGGAATACTTTAATGATTACTAGAAAACGAGTTTAAGTTAGTAACGTTTCATTTTATGACCGTTAAGGTAATTGCGTTTAATATACCAAATTGCTTGTTGTTCTTTATTTATTTAAAGGATAAATAAGAAATAATAATCAAGGTCAGTCTGGAACTAGCCCAACCAGTTAGTTCTCAAGTAATGTTTCTCGAAAAAAAAATAATTTATTGCTATGACTTCCGGAGACAGTCCATCACATCCCCTGAGAAAGAGCAAGGGCATCCACGTCGTTCATATCCTCTGTAACGTCCGCTATACGTGCGCTCTTTGCGGCCGTCTGCTCCCACCGACGGTATTAACAGGTGGCTGAGTAAAGTGTGCTTGCATATGGTGTGCAAGCCGGCACGTAGCATTCAAAGTTACAAAAATTGCGCGGATGGAGGACATGTAGCATGTGATAGTCACATCACGTAATATCTTTAATAATTAAAATAAACTATTCTCCCCTGCCCAAACAGGTGCAAAGTTGAGGCATAAATCAACAACAAAGAATGTAAAATAAGAGCCCTATGCATTTCAAAGAATGTCTGTGTAAAGAAATATTAGACCACATTGGGTTCTAAGACATAATGGATCTTTTTGCATGACGTATACTTTTATACTGTCGAAGTAAAATACATCTATGCTTTAATTTTACCTACAAGTGTGCAGAGTGAGTTTTATTACGAAATACGCACTACGTTTATATGTTTATATATATATATAGCGGGACACATCCAAACATCGCAAGAACTGCTTATTTTTAAAGGAACGTGTTACAGTTTTTTACGGGCAAGGCACTTTTAGATTCCCCCAAATATCTGAGGAAGGATTAATTGCTGCGACACATCAGAAGCGCCTCCAGAATCGATCAAAACCATTTAGTAAACTTCATAACTCACGTTAGTTATCTGAACATATATGGCAATATCAATGTCCGCTTATACATTACATAATATATAGTCATAGCATGTACTTATTACGTAGAAACAACAGTTGCATTTTATGCAAAGACAAATACAGCAAAACCGACGACTAGTTAGTTGCTGTAATTAAAGGTAAATACCTCTGGTTATTTTTGTCCTTGCTCTCAGTGAGTGTCTACGTGCATTTGCCGTCGTGCTCTATGGTCCGTGTTTATTTATTGTGCAGGTTTAAAAAACTGAAGTCAGGTGTCTTTCGCTATTAAGTCAAGCAGCCAATAGGAAGCTTTCCTGCGGCCGTCCTGCGGACTATTTCCAGCCCTCATTCTAAGTCAGAAGCGCTCGTTGTTTTATTCATCATAACGTTAGAGGATGAACAGTTTAATGTGGGGGATGCGCTCACATGTGTTTAAACATCAAATGACATTCAACAGGAAATGATCTAACTAATAATTCTTGAATTGCGCATTTGTGCAATATGAGTAAATTTAACGCAAATGAAAGTTGTCAGGTTTTTACCCTACTCTTATTTTCTTACATAGGCCTATCTGTCGTTCACAGCTGAACGCCACAAACAAAAAAAGGTAAACAAAACCAAAGCCTCGCGCTTCGGGTTTTAAAAGCGCACGGGGGGGGGGCCCTCGCGAACGTTTTGTCCAGGGGCCCACACAACCCATAATCCGTCCCTGGGTACAGACAGTAGGCTAAGATATGTTTTAAGAAATAAAATTACACATTCATGTAAAAACGTGTAGAAGATATTTTTCATTGCTCCATCATCTTGTTGAGGGTTAAGCAAATACGTCAGAATCCCATTCATTCGAGAGAGAGTGCACGTTCACATCACATCCCGGCACAGGCATGAGCTGCCTGTCCCATGACACAAAAGGGCGCACTGGCTGTTCCTATTTTTGGTAGCCTAGAGTTTCCTTCCTAAAATCTTGGCAAAGCTCATTTCTTTCCAGCACCGCATTACCACAGTACAAATGGCGGATGTAACAAGAAACGCTACTCCGCCACCCAATTGTTACGCTATCTATAGTAAATACATTATTACAGTCAGCCAGGTGTAGATGAACAGTAGGACAGTAAGTAAATTTAACCAGTGATTCAGGCAGTATTAGCTGTCATATATATGGTTCTTCAAAGGAACTATATTACCCTTCTGTTTGAATGCATAGACCTACAGATAAATTTGGTTTTTACAAGGAGTTTCGGTATCAGAATTTCAGGTTCCTTTTTGGATTAAATCCATACTTTCCATTTCAGACATCCACTTTCGTTTTTAAGATGGTGATACAATGGGTTTGGCATGTATATGTAAAGATACCATTGTGTGGGATTTCGTAAAAGTCACATTTCACCAGCAAGTAGCCTACAGCAGGTTTGACGTTACACAGGTCTCTTGGGTTAAGTTCTGTAATTTGATTTTATTGATCATAATGGACCCTGTACCGGATCATCACTCCGTTACCCATCATCTGCCCTGAAGGACATCATGCAGGTCCCCACGAGCCTCCTCCATCATAATCATTGATCAAAAAGTGAGACATATACTTCAGAAACAAACTATCAGGGAAGCAGCTGGCAACGATCACATCTCACCCACCACGCTCACTGTGCAGCATCGTGCTGATCCACTGGCCTCCATTTTTGCGCCTTCTAATGAGTCCATGAGAAGCTCTCAATCCAAACACCCACTGTACAAGTTTCATACTCTTATTGACTCATTTGCATCATACCCAAGCTGTCTGCACATTTATTCACTTGTTTACATACTTGCCTCATCATTGTATATCTCCCGAAATACAAATTATAATACTGCAAAAAAAAATATGTATTTTTGCATTTAGATTTTCAGTTGTACGTTTGCTTAAGCCATGACACCGCCCGCACCAAAAGAAATTCCTTGTACTTCTCTATACTTGGCGAACAAAAAATTCTGATCATCCGAGACAGTAGTACAAATCATAAAGAATGATGCCAAAAGATAACGGATGTAGTATGTTGGTTCAGTAGCATCGTTTATTTCTCAATCAGCAAAATAAAAACAAAAACTACAATACCATTAATGTCATCTCCATGCCAGTTATGTGCATTTACAACGAATAAAAAGTTTCCCTCCTGTAACATCATACGTCACAATAAAACAATAAAAAATCTGCAGTTTTACAAACATGATTTTACGTTTCCGTACACAAAAAAATATACCTTTCTCTGGCACTTAAGTGTCCTCAGTATGAACGTTTCTATTATTTACAGTACAATCAGTACTTTAAAACGGTAAAACAGACGCGTTTTTGCTGCATGCCCCGAACAAACCGAAGAACAGGTGCACTGTGGGTATTCAGACAGCGGCTGCTCATTGCATTGCTTTGATCGTTAAAAATCTTACACTAGTATTTTAATGCATAAGACAGGTACAACCATCATTCCCCTCCAAACCCTGTTAATTCAAATCTGCAACTATATAAAAAAAATAAATAAAGCTTTGAATGATTATCATTTTACAGTATATTTCAAAGACATTTAATGAAAATACAGACCCAGACTTCGGGGAGAAAAAAAAAAATTCAATCTGAAATCAGGCAGCAGTCGTATCCACTTTGTACAGTTTCGGATTCTGGCTTTAAATCCACGTTCGCATTCATCTGAACTGTCCGCAAAGGTTCTCCTTCCTAGCAGCACACTCTGGAGGACAGAAGGCACTCATGACACCGATGTGGCCAGTGCCCCCTCACCACCCCCTAATCCTGTATAAACCTGGGGGGGGAGTGTTGGGGATCCCATACATGCCCTAACATGTGGGCCTCAATCTGGACAACTGCTGTCCTGCTCCAGCCCCAAAAACGTCCCCGTGATTCAGGGTGGAGGCAAGAATGGAGTACAGAGGTACTAAAAATGGCAAGGTTATCATAACAGACTCCCCCCTCCCGCAAGGGACAGAAGCCAGAAGGGGGGATTAAAGAATAAATCTCCAACAGCTCTTTGCTTCATTATTTCAGTCATCCATCGACGTTCCAAACCCTGTTTTCCGGCACACCACCTGAAACTCAGGGACAGCGCCCTCCGTCCCCCCCCCCCCCCCCCCCCCAGCAAGGCCCCGCCCCCTGTCTCCACCCTCGACACCCCCACCCCCACAGCAGCATCACATGTCACTCAAGTCAAAGCAGTCTATCACTCCACCTCGCTCCCCTTCCTGCTGGCACCTGCGGGAAAGAGACAGGAAGGAGGAAAGGGGATGGTCACTAACCATTCAGGACAGCATTTTAGAACAAATCACATGAGAAAAGAATTAGCACAGCCTGTGACTGGCCTGCCAGTGGTCATGTGGACAGGGTGGGAGCACCAACCTTCAGACTGTCCCAAAGTCTTCGTGGGTGGTGGGTCGAGCTGTAGAAACAACATGTGTTAAAGCAACAAGACTTTTCTTGATTTATGAGAACAGTGTCTGGGTGTTTATGTCACCTAATAAAGCCAGTCCTATAGTCGCAGCCAATCAGAATGAGGAATGGGAGAACATGCAGGATTTGAGCATGTGTGTGTGTGTCTGTGTCTCTGTGTGTACATACCTCACTGCAATTCATATTCATGTCTCCCCTCAAAAGAAAGAAAACAAAGGCTGTTAAAAAGGATTGCTCACCAGCGCCCTCTTGGGTTAAGTTCTGTAACAGCAATGCCAGACACGGGATGACTGGAGAATACTGATCCAGGGGAAAGATGGGTGTGTGGGAATGGGGAATGGCAAGGTGGTAACTGGTTGGAATTTGGTTTGAGGGGTGTTGTATCAGTGTGTTCACTGGGTTCACCACGTCATGGGGCTAGGAGGTAAATCCAAAGCAACACTCTCACATCTGCATTCTCTGATGCCCACGGAATTTTGCATAGAGAGAGTAGCCCTTCATTAACAGCCCATGTCATTACCATTTTAAGCTTCCTCTAGACTTCAGGTTAAAGTTTAACATTAAAGGGCTGTTTACAATTTCCATGCAGCAAGATGTACCCTGTGCACCCTTCTGCGCCCTCACTCTGTCCGTTCACTCCTCCAATCTGCCCTTTCCGCTAACCAGCTGTTCCCTGACTATGAAGGGCTGTCACCTGCTGGGCAGCTGCCCCTTGTGGCCAAAAAAGGTTAATGCATTGGTTAATAATAAAGAGCACTGCTGATTTCATGCTGCAGACAGTTTTTGGACCACAAATCAATTAGGGATTGAGAGGTGCTAATTTTAAACTTGCTGCACTGGGACAATGAAACTTCTGTTTCTATATTAATACATTTGTAACACATTCAAGCTGATTAAAGCAGGACCCACAGAAGCTAAATGCCTGGAGCTAAATTGTACCGTACGTGTTCTTGTTAAATTTATTTAAGCCCAGTAGTTTAGATTATTATGATCAGTCTTGTTTACACCAATGTGGCCCAGTTAGCCTTCCTGGAATGACGTGGTAGCCAAAACGGGTTACTGTGAAGGTTAGTATCGGACCAGAACCTGCAAACATGCCTTAGCGACGGCTTAGCGACAACAGCCAGGCAGGCAGGCTGGAGCTCCACTTCAGGCCAAGGTGCCAGGCGGCACCCCTACCTGTGGGGACCCATGGGGAGGGGTCGGGGAGGGGGGAGGAGCTCGGTTCGGGTTTCCAGAGGTTCAGGAATGCTGAGCGTCTATACCTGCCGGCGTGAGCACGAGGGCTTGCAGGATATCCGACAGGGACACAATGCCCACGATTCTGGCCTTTTCGTCCACCACCACCAGCCGATGGACCTGGGGGGGGTTTACAAACCACACCTATAAGCAGGACTGAACCCTGCATTCCAGCTGTGCTGTTTGAGCACCAGAAGTTCAGGGTGAGTTCCAGCGTGACTATGGCGACGCCAACCTCGGCTTTCACGATGCGGTCCACGATGGTTTCCAGCGTCTCCAGCCTGTTGCACTTCATGACACCCTCGAAGTACTGCGAGCGGTGTTGCAGGGCCTGTGTCACGCTGATGTCCAGGTTGTTGTAGGTCTTCTCAGCCGCAAGGTTCTGCATAGATGCAGGCGTGTCAGCGGACAGACCGGGAAAAAGGCCAGCGCTCACATTTTATCATTATTATGGCGTTTGATAATAAAAGCACGCAAGGGTGACAGTAAGGATACTCACTATGACATCAAACTTTGAATAAATGTCAACAACCTTGCCTGGAAGCAAAACAAGTTGAAGAGAATTAAGGGAGATCTTTCATTTAAGGTTCTGGCAGGTCACTGAAAGGGTCAAATGAAGCAGCACCAGTACCGGACTCGTCCACCACAGGCAGGGCAGACACCCTCCTCTCCACAAAGATGCTGAGTGCCTTGATGATTGGCGTGTCAGGGTGGATGAAGGCGATGTTCTCATAGGTGCCGATGCCCAGCTCCTGTAGCGTCTGCTTCATGAAGGCGGGTTTCGGCATCTCGCAAACCTGGAGGCACGGGGGGATGGTCTGGACCTTTACAGGCTACACTAGCTGCAGTATTTTACTTGCATGTTTATTTTTAAAAACTGGGGCACGCAATGTTGTAGGTGCCCCCTGCTGGTCCACTGGAGAATTGCGTTTTGCACAGGGCCATAGCGTTACAGCAGGGCGTATTGGGGGCAGGTTACAGTAACCCTCTCTGGAGCACCGTGCTGTGGGACCATTAATCACTGTGAGAGTATTCTGCTTTCCATCGATCACAGGAGTGAGCGCCTGAATTCGCCAGCATTACATTAATCACTGATTTCTGAAGCAGCTGCAGTGACAGTAAACATCAATCAAACCCTGCTGTTACACTTTTTGCAGATAACAAGGGAATTTGGATCACCAAGAAGAACTGAATATGAAGAACTGGGAAGTAGAATGTAATAACCATCTAGTCCACTAGAGGGAGAATGTCTGTTCCTTTACAGAATATACTCTATGTGGCCTATTAGTAACAGAAACCGAAATAATAGACAATGTATAACTTCATAATGGATATAAATTTTCTGCTTTTTTCTTCAGATGCAGCTGACTGGTGCTAAACAGCAAAAGGCATATTTAGCAGAGTGTTTCGGGAAGGTCACCCAGAAGCACTCGCAAGCAGGGGGTGGGAGTGAGATGGTGTACTCACGAAGAGTTGAAGGAACTTCAGGATCCGCTTGTGTGTGAGGATGTACAGAGCGTTCCCACTCACAGGGTCAATGACGGGCAGCCGGTGGATCTTATTTTTGATTAGCGAGTACACGGCGTCAAAGATGCTGCGGAACACAAAGAGAATGGGGAAATGTTCCCATGGGGACGATAAGACGGGACCTCAGGAGTCCCGTTCGGAAACTGTCACTGCTGAGGAGTCAATTTATTCCCAGCTATGTGACCATTTTGACAATCAGGCCCGCTATGTCCAACACATCCTCAACCTGGGTATTGTGTAAATCCTTAACCTTTTATATGTTGGTGCTGTTTTCCTAACACTACAGTGTTTCTGACTGACACAGCAAGCTTAGAAGAAGGGAAAGACCTTGGTATCCTGAGCAACAAAATGTCTATAATGTCACCATCTATGATTAGAATTGGATAGAGAACTCAACAAGTGCTATTGTTGAAATAGCCACTAGGGGGCAGATTCCCCTCAAGGTTTTTTGAATCACTGACAGAGCCCAATGCATTTCCTTCAAACAGAGAAGCCCTGAATTATTTAGTGCTCAAAAGCTATTTAACAAACAGCAGAATAGAGCAGTATTTTCCTCAGGGAAAAGCAGAGAAAACAGAAGCTGATCCAAGGGGGAAAAATGAAACTTAGTACGCATGTGATACAAATGCAATGTACCAAATGTACTCTAATGTACCAAATGAGCATTAGAGAATGAAAAGCCCATTCAGTAAATCTCAGTTGGGACTGTAACATGTGAGGAGGAGCCCTCACCTTGCATCTGGGGAAATGTTCACCAAAGGCTTGAAGGTCTCCTGAAGATAGAGCTCTGCAAGAAAGCAGAAGGCAAGTTCATCATGCAACCTCAGCTCAGCCCAGCCGTGAGAGCTCATGGACACAGGCGTACCTCTCCACGTCTCGATTTTGTGCTCCTCCAGCTCGTAGATCTGTACCTGGAAGACAGGCATCCATGAACTTCTCAATGCCGTTCATTTAACACCAAACCTCATCCACTGTGCTCTCTACTTCCATTTTCACCTGAACGCCTTGCATGGCTCATGTAAGCATCTCCCTCTTTCAGTTTAACCAGAACATTCTATCATTCCTCAGAGGCCATGCTTCTCAGGAAGCACCCCACAAGGCCAGTCAGAATGGGAGAAGTCAGCATCTCCAGGTAGGTGCACCTGAGAGCTCAGAGTGCTTCTCATATAGCAAATACAGGCTGTAAATAGGCTATATAAACCAAAAGCTGTTCAGGGTACACAGGCTGGGGTGACTCAGCACTGGATTCCAGAGTTAATCATTTCTACCAGGGCTCCAGGTGCATTCTGGGAATACAGCAATGGCTGCCGGCAAATCATCATAACGACACGCTCAGGGTCAGGCTAGAGGGCCTATGACATTGCCCTTAATCACCTAATGCCTTCATGAATAATAACACATCTTCTAAACTTCCTTGTTCCCTGAAGTCACAGAGAAACAGGAAATAGACACCTACCATGGGTGACTTGTAGTATCTGTGCAATATGTTGATGAAGTCTGTGATTGTTAGCATCCCTGGTGGGGGAAAATGAAACAAAGCCTGGTTATTATGAGGAAATGCATCGCCGCTACGAAGCCAACAGCAGGACAGATGAGACAAGGGGCACCTTCATGTCACCATATGAGGAGGATTTTATTAACAATCTTGCAGTTTTTACACTCTGGAATTTTACAGGAGTAAATCAGGTTAACCCCTCATAGGATGGGAACTAACAAACAAACAAACAAACAAACAAACAAACAATCTTCTACTCAAATTTCACGTTCCTAAACTCCATGCCCCCTAGTGTCTATAAACAGATATTCTCACCAGAATGCTTTCAGCAGGACCTCCTTTGGTCCATCTATAAAAGTCACCCTGCAGAAGCTCGCCAAAGAACCTCTGTAATTAAACTTTGTCCCTGAACTTTAGAGGACGGGTAATGCCAAGAATTAAACATTAACAAGCTGCTGGCAACAAGGCCCTAAACCCGAAACCCTGCCTTCCGTGCATTTGCAGACACAGTATTCTTATCAGGCCTGCTGTATCTTGGGGGTGGGGGGTCTTGCTTCGGAGTTTTCAGCATCTCCCCAAAGCCCAGGGGAATGCTGGTGCTGGTCTGCTGAAGGTCCTCAGCGAGATAATGGTTGCTGCAGGCTGGCAGGGCTGCAGCAAAGATGGCCCCGAGGTACAGCTGATGAACAAGCCTCATTGGCTAGTCAGCCAGAGCCCCCCCCCCCCCCCCAGCGGTGCCCCCTACAGGGAGACGCACCCTCACTTCATTTAAAGCTGGCGAAACGTGACGGGCTACTAATTTCCAGTGTGGTCGGTCTGCTCGTACCCCTCCATCAAAGGAATGAGCCCCCCTGCATTGCATCCACATTTCACACGTGAGGAAAAGCCAAGAAACTGTCCCGCTAACATCTCGCCGACACCAGGAGAGAGAGGGAGTGTGAGAATCAGGCCACCGGGGGCTGGTGTGGCCCGATTTAATCTGCTCCCTGAGGGCAGAGGAGAGGAAGAGGAAATGAAGGAAGCAGAGATGGAAAAAAAGGAGGGAAGGAAGGCCCCTTAGCCACGAAGACGGCCTGTCGCGCAGGGCCGCGTGTACGTAGCTGGTTTTATTTTAATGTGCCCGTCTCTGCGAACCTGCCTCTCAGGGGGCGGTATTTATATCCGTCTCCATGACTCCGGCCCACATGGAGTATGCTGACGTAGGCGGCTGGGGACCCCGCTGGCTTGGGGGGGGG